GTGTCCTCTGGAAGCGGCAGACGACGATCTGAGGCATTATCGCGCGTGCCCCAAGTTGAAGGCAGGGTTGATTGACATATTCCCCCGCGGTGGACTTCTGAGGTCTTGGGCCGCGGCTCTAACGGGCGAGGATTGGCTCCTCACACTTTGTTGTTTGGGGCCACAGTGGGGGCGGTCGCGTGACCTAGCGGGGCGCGCCCTAATTGATTGCTTTCTGGCCGCGCATAATGCTCGCAGGACTGGCTCGGTCCAGCCCGGGGAGTTTCTTATGAAAGCCAGGCTTCGGCAGTTGTCTCGTCGGCACCCCAAGCTTAATGAGGCGCTACGTGCGCTGCGTCTGACTGCTGCTGCTGCCGCCTCTCCCCCTGCTCCTCCTGCCCCTCCTGCCGCGCCCCTCCTCTCCTGAGTTGCCGTGTCCCCCCCTTTTGTCTCCCCTTTTCCTTGTGGCCCCCTAGGTATTGGTCCATGCAGGATGCTGTCAGAGTTTGATGTGACCCTGGTGGGTCTCTCGGGTTGGCTGGCTGGTTTTCCGAGTTTTTTCCTGACGTTGTGTTTTCTCAGCGCTCTGTGACGTTTCTTGGTTAATTCAGGGCCCCGTGTTGTCGCCAGGGTTGCGGGCGCTGCTCAGTGCTCTTTGTGACCCTCTCCGCCTGCAGGTGAAGATGGTGAGGTGCAGCTAGAGAGAGTGCCTCTCTTGCCGCGCCGCCGCCCCCCTGCCTCTCTCCCGCCGCCCGCCCCGCGGCCGCCCCGCCTCTTTTGCCTGCCAAGCCTCTCTTGCTGTCCTTGAACTTCCACTGGTTCTCGGACGGGCGGAACGGCCTGGTTCGTTCGTGCGTCGATTGCTCGTCGCCCCTGTAGGGTAGGCAGGCCTTCCCGCGACGCCAAGCCGTGGCGCATCCAGACACCCGTTGCGTCTGGCGCGGAGGAGGTCCTCCCCCTCCGCCGCGCCCTGCCGTTGCCCTCAGGTTCCCGACGAAGTTCGAGGCACCCCCGCAGCCGCTCCGCGCGAGAGAGCGTTCCCCTCTCGCCCTCAGGTCCCCGACGAAGTTCGAGGCACTTTGGAGGCCAGCTGTCTTGTATTCCCTTGTTCGGTGTGTTGGGGTCTCGTTTTTGGGGCGTGCCCCTTTTGTCTGCTTCTGCCTGCTGCGCTGTGGGTTGGGCCCTCGGTCAGCCGAGGAGTGAGTGTGGCATGGGAAGGATGCTCGAGTGTGTGATCCCATTTTGGACGGCGTGCCTTCGGGGGGCGCGCGCCCGCCAGGGATCCTGTACACTCGGAGCAGAGTGCCCGCCGCCGCTTCTCTTTGCCCTGCCCCTGCTGCTGCTCCTCCCCCGCCCTTTGCATGTTAGATTGCACGGTGCCCAGTGCTCGCTGACAGAACGGACCTGACACATGGATTTGGCGTGTGCGCCAGCGGTGGAGGGGAGGGGAAACAATAATAATAATAAGAAGAAGAAGAAGAAAGAAAAAAAGAACAAAAAAAATCCTCCTCCTCCTCCTCCTCCTCCTCCTCCTCCTCCTCCTCCTCCTCCTCCTCCTCCTCCTCCTCCTCCTCCTCCTCCTCCTCCTCCTCCTCCTCGGGTCGCCTACAGCCCCGGGGGGAACCGCGCAGCCCGAGGATGTGACGTTTTCGATCCGGCGGTTTTTCTTGGATGTTGGTTCCCGGGGCCCCTCCATCGGGCCCAGGGACGGGGCGAAAAGACATTCCCGGGGAATGGGTGGGGGCCTCTCTGGGGCCGCGGGGGCTGAAAAGGCCATATCGGCGGATGTTTGGGGACCACGTCCCTGGGGTCAGACGTCGGGGGGGGGGGGGGGGGCAGATCGCCACGAGGGTAAGCGGGCCCCGAGGGAAAAGTGGCCCGGAGATCTGTCGCTGTCTGCGGGCCCTCGGGGCGCCCTCCACGGGCCCCAGGGCTGGAAGAGAGCGGCGCGGGAGGAGGGGCTCGTCTTGGGGGAGGCCCCGAGGTCCAGGACCCGTTTACCTCAGCTTGGCATTGCTCGGACGTGTGCATTTTTTCTCGCCGAGAACCATCGAAGACCATCCTGGACCATCGAGCCAAAACATACACGCACGAAATCGACGAATGCACGGGATATGGACGTCCGAGCGATGGCAAGTCAGGACACCCGCGTCCCCCAGGCCAAGAACACAGCATCGTGGAGCATGGCGACGGAACCCTGTAGGCCCCAATGTTATGCTGCATGTCTCCAGCCGCATCGATCAAGAGGGGCCCCGGGGGCCGCCGCCGGGCGGAGGCGCACGCTGTGAACAGAGCGTTGCTCAGAGATCCCAAAAGGACGCCAAGCATTTGCGGTCTCCCACATCTCTGGTTTCCTGGCGGCATCCCAGCGAGGCCCGAGCTCAGCAGGGGAGGTCTCGTGCGCCCGCGTCTCGGGCGAGGCGGATATTCTAGGGTGCATCAAGAGCCCGCTCTTGCGAGCAGAGCGCGACATCATTCCGTCCTCAGTCCCGCCGAGGGCCTGTGTCGAAGTCTCCCGAAGCCGGCTGCCACGCGTCACTGATCACGTCCGTCTCTGTAAGTTGTTTCATGCGGCCTAGTCCTGGCTTGGGGTGGTCGCCCAACACTGCGAACATCGCGTTCGGACTTGCAAGGACTAAAAGCACAATGAGCGAATATCCGAAGTAGGACATGCCACTGATTGTGTTTAATAAGTTTTGAGTGGCCCAGGCCGAAGGTCGTGCCTTCAACGACAAGTGTGCGAGTTATCACTGTCAGGATTAAAGTGCTTTCGTTCCCACTTAATGATCGAGTTCACTAATTTTATGTTGCGATGTGAACCGCTCAGAATATGTTGTTCTAGAGCGACTGAGTCTAACGGAGGAAAACGACGGCGATGAGTTGGGCATATGTACCACATGAATGTGCAACCGCGCAGGACGTGTTGGGCTAGAGCGTCTGAGTTCAACTGTGGATACAACGACGGCGACGATGTTGACCAATGTGCTAAATTGATGCGCATTGTCTCCCAAACTTGATGGCGACGGAACGAATATCAAGCACCAAAGTTGGATCTGTATCCGAGGGAGCGTCTTGAGAGACAGCAGGCCCACCGATGCGGTGCGGCCGACGATGCTCCGAGGTTCAGAGGTGAAGGACAGCATGCCAATCTCATCACGAGGATTGTGGTTTGAACCCGACCTTCACTTGCTCGTCGTCGAAAGAAACTGCCTCTCGTCCTCATCCGAATCATCCCCTCCTACACCGCGCCAGGCTTGCACTGCATCCCTTGCGCCCGTGCGGGCAGCGCTTGCGTGACGCAAGCATGTTATTCGATGTTCCTTGCTGGCTCGTTGGAAGCAGATACACATAAATACAAGTGTAACACCTCGCATTTGCGGATAAGAGTGAGGGGGCGGGCGCAGGGTGGGTCGCCGCGGGTGGGTCCCGTGCGAGTCGCGGGCGATAGCGGGATGGGTCGCGGATGGGTTGCGGGTGGGTCGCGGGTGGGTCGCAGGGTGGGTCGCGCGATGGGTCGCGGGTGTGTCGCGGGTGGGTCGCGGGGTTGGTCGCGGGTTGGGTTGCGGGCGGGTCGCGGGTGGGTCGCGGGGTGTGTCGCGGGCCGGGTCGCGGGTGGATCGCGGGCGGGTTGCGGGCTGGGTCGCGGGTGGGTCGACAACAAGAAACATCACATTTTCAAAAACAATACGAACAACGACGACAGCAACAACAGCAACAATCATTTCAAGTTTGTTCGTTCTTATTTGCTCGCGGGCCACTGAATATTTATGTTTCGAACCCTCGATACCCGCCCTCTTCGTCTTCGATCGGACCTCCTTAGAGGTGTATCTTTCTTATTTAACAACATGTATTTCGTGCACAGGACGGATGGAAGGTTGCTGAAGCGTGCTTCTCGAGCGATAGCGTGATTCCCAAATAAATCGTACAGGCATGCACAGCGAAAGTGTGATTCCTGAGTGTCGGGGACGCGGCGTTCCAATACATTGCGAGGAGTTCCCACGCGGGATCACGATTCCTGTATACATTGCGAGGTAGTCCCGCGCGAGAGCGCGATGTGGGAATACTCTGTGACGGAGTATCAGGCGGAAGCCGTTGTTGTTGTTGTTGTTGTTGTGAACTAGGGCCCAACAACACAGTTCGGTGACACCTCACATCCTTTGTGAACAACAGGGTGCGATGCCCGGGATAACCCTTTCAATTGGAAAATACAAAGGTAACCGCAGGGAGAATCAACAGTAATTGTTTTCCCGGGGGGGAATTCAGCAACAACAGTAATTTTCTTTTTGTTCGTTCTTATCTGCTCGCCTGTCATTCGACACGTAGGTCCCAAACCTTTGGTACCCACCCTCTTCGTCTTCGATCGTACCCCCTTGGGAGCATATCTGCCTTACCTGCCACGTGCATGTAGCGCAGCTCCTAAAACAGGGGAAGAGAGGACGGATGGAAGGGGGAAGGAGAAGGATGGGAAGGAGAAGGATGGAACACGAGAGGAATTCGCAGGAAGGGGGCTAGGAGCAGAAAGCGCGTGGCAGAACCACACGGGCAAGTCGGGCGGAAAAACCCGAGCGTGCGGGTCGGGAATGCGGGCCCATGCGGGCAGGTCGAGCAGACGGGTTGCTGAAGCGTGAACCTTGCATGGGTCCCGACCCGAGGAAGTCTCTAGCTATAGTGCGATTCCCAAGTAAATCGCGAGAGAGGCCGCAGTGGGGGAGCGATTTCCATGTGGACGCCGCCATTGGGGCATGATGTGGGGCATTGGGCCATTGTCACGACGCGACGGGTTTGGGGGGACAGCGTCCTAGCAATTTGATCTTCGATCCTCGAAGTTCGATCGGAGGTTAGGGGTAGACCTCCTACCCTGACACGTCGATGAGCGAATTGGCCGTTTTCGGTTTGCGAGAGGGTCGCGCGGCCGTCATTTTTGCGGGTCCAGGTCCGTCGGTCTCGGTCCTAGGCCATTTTCACTAAAGGGTGGTTTACTAAAGAAAGTTTGTCCACCGCCGATTCGAGCCCGCCGCCAGTATCACCCGAGCGCCTGGCGCCACCGGCACAACTACTTCCTGGACAGGCGCGCGCCGTCGGGTGCAGACGGGGAGGTCCTGAGAGCCGGGTGTCGCATACTCGTTTCGCACCAGGCAGTTTTCGCCATGAGCTGGGCTTTAGGTCGTCTCCCTCTTTCTCCCTCTTTCTCTCTGGAGTCGGCGGGGGCTCTGAGGTGGCCCAGCACGGGCGCTGGGTCCGCCAAGTGTTTTGATAGTAATACTGAAGCTAGAGATCTGAGAATCCGACATACGAACGCATCATAATCTACTACAGGTGCAGATGATACTTGAGATGCGTAATTCGTTTTCTCCTTTCGTCAAGTTCACGAAACCATTATCATCTGGGAAGATGCTTCCCGACGGCCGATTCGTTCGCCCCTCGCATTGGGCTTCCTGGGGGCTTCTCGTCGCCACGGCTGGGCGCGGCTGGAAAACCGCGTGCGCTTGGACCTCAGGAGGGGTCCAGGGACAGATTTTTGGGAGGGCTTGGGCCTGCCCCCCCCCTCTCCTGACAGAGTTTCCCGGGGCCGTCCAGCTCAGACTCCTGGCCGCCGTCAACTCTCTCTCTCTCTCTCTCCTCCTCCTCCTCCTCCTCCTCCTCCTCCTCCTCCTCCTCCTCCTCCTCCTCCGCCTCCTCCTCCTCCTTTTCCTCTTTCTCCTCCTCTTCCTCCTCCTCCTTCGCCTCCTCTCTCTCCCTCCTGGTTGGAGACATGCGGGTAACTTCGATACAAGCTCACATCGGCGAGCTTGTTGAATCATGTGCACATGCCGTGGTGCCACCTGATGTCTGCGAGCAGGGCATGTAGGACATTTGCCGATGTGAGTTGTGGAACACACTGAGGAGCGTTCAGTTTGCGCGTGCCTCGGCGTTGCAGAGCGTATGTCTGCGGCATGATCCTCATAGCTCGGTGTTCTCCATGCGCTCTGCTGACACCGTATATGTTGAGCTTGCGCACTCTCGTGCACTGGCGCTGTTACACTTGCAGCGTCATCCTCGCAGGCTCACTTCGGCGACTGGGTGCGGTTTCGGGGGTCGGGCATGATCGGGCCGCGCATCCGCGTCGAGTGCCTCGGCCCCCGTCCGCTGTTCCCACCTCCACCACTCAGTTCGCCAGCGTTTGCTTTCTCGGAGCCTGGACCTCCCTCCCCATCATCATTCGATAAGGGGATCGACTACATAATGGATTTGCACTGAATTTGTTTCTCCGTCGCATCTACGAGTACTGCGCAAATGGCTCGGTAGATCTACGGAGCATTCTGAGTATTTCTGGTAGATTCGACGGTCAATGTATTTTGGGGGCCTGAATCAAGTCTGCAGTCGATCCCCTACTTGACCCGTGTCGCACATCGCAATTTTCTTCGCCCACTCGCCGACCAGAGTTGACAAGGATCCATCCCCACCGCGCACGTGTGCTGACCCCATGAGCTCCGACGCCGTGTTGTCCGCTCCGCGGCGCGGGCATGGGCCGGCGAGTTGCCGAGCAGGACAGGTTTTCTGTCTCGCCGCGGGTGGCTCTTCGGTGGACCAGGAGCCCGAGACCAGCTGGTTCTAGAGGCTCAGGCCTATTGAGCACGAATCAACAGGGGGGGTGGGGGGGCGATGGATGCAGGGAGAAGGGTGCCCTTCTCGGGCTCGAAAGGCCCCCTCTGGGGCCCTCACAGGCACCTTGTCCGAAGCCCTCGCCCCCCCACTTTGTCGCCCCCCATCAACTCTCGCCCGAGCTTCGAAAGTCCGGCCTCCGCCCTCCGCCCTCTCTTCCCGGCAGGGGGATGAAGTTCATGGTCAGTTACAGGTCCCCGATGATAGGCGGCACGGACCTCTTCGACCCAGAGAAGTTCGGCTGCTATGAGAAGCGGGGCTCGCAGGGGCCGAAGCTCCTCCGCAGAGCTGAGTTCGGCAAGGACCCCCCCCTGACGCTTTAGTAGTGGACCCCCCCCATTTCACTCGGCGGTGAATGGGACTGGTCCTAGAACCTCCTCCTCCTCCTCCTCCACCTCCCTCCTCCTTCCTCTTCCTCTCCCTCCTCCCTCCTCCCTCCTCCTCCTCATCCCTCCTCCTCCTTCCTCCTCCTTCTCCTCCTCCTCTTCCTCCCTCCTCCTCATCCCTCCTCCTCCTCCTCCTCCTCCTCCTCCTCCTCCTCCTCCTCCTCCTCCTCCGTCCTCCTCCTCCTCCTCCTCCGTCCTCCTCCTCCTCCTTCTCCTCCGTCCTCATCCTCCTCCTCCTCATCATCATCCTCATCCTCATCCTCCCTCCTCATCCTCCCTCCTCCGTCTCCTCCTCAGGAATGGCACGAGGAGGCATGAGTAGATTGCAGGGCAGGGGGAGGAGGGAGAGAGGAGGAGGAGGAGGAGGAGGAGGAGGAGGAGGAGGAGGAGGAGATGGGGGGGGAGGGCGTGCGGCTCTCCGCAAGGCTTGGGGTCAGGGCTGCTTCCTGGGGCGGCTTGCGGCGCCCCGTCGTGGAGGCACCCTCCTGGTCGCGCGCGCGCAGGCTCGCTCCCTCCCTCCCGCGCTCTCTCTCTCTCTCTCCTCTCTCTGCCTCTTTTTCTTTTTCTTTTTTTTTTCTCTCTCTCTCTCTCTCTATCGCTCGCTCTCTCTCTCTCTCTCTCTCTGTCTCTCTCTCTCTCTCTCCCTCTCCCTGTCATACCAATTCCCCTGTATACAGGTGTGTATCTCATATGTGTCTCTCTCTCTCTCTCTCTCTCGACCTCGCGCTTCTGCGCTTCGCCTCACTGGATACAGAGCGGGGGGGGAGGGGGCTTCGCCGCCAGCTGCCGCGCAAGAAGACGAGGAGGCTCGGGACACTCCTCGCCTCCCTCCTCCCCAGTGGGGGCCCTCGCGTCGTGGCAGAGCAGCGCGGCGGGCGTTGCGATGTTCGATGCTCTCGGCCTCGGGGCGCCCTCACAGGGGGCCCCGGGAGCGTGAGCAGAAAGTGCGCGCTGGTCGCGGAAGGCGGCGCTCCCAGATCGCAATCTACGTCGGGCGCCCTCCCATGCTTGAGTCGGGCGCGTCCCAGGGTGGGGAGATTCCAAACTAGTCAGACAACAGTCTGGGGGGGCGATTTTTGGACAATGTTTGAGCATTCTGGGAGTATGTTGTGGGGGGACAGGCCAGACCTAATCCTGATTATTACAAGGGTCGGGCACTTCCCCTCTTCCCCTCGCTACGGGGGGCGGGCGGAGATCCGGCCTGCATCCGACGCCTTCCTGCTTCATGCCTCCGCCTGCTTCCTCCGACCGACGGGCGCTCGCGATGGCCAGCGAGAGCCAGTCCTGGAGGGAGGCCAACGATACACCGCCGCCAGCCCTGGGCAGGTCCATCCTGGGCCCTGGACTGGTGCATAGACCTCCAGGCCTAGGCAAGGAGGGCTTGCGCACCAGTCCAGGGCCCAGGATGGGCCTGGCCCGAGCTGGCGGTGGCGTATGGTTTGGAGCTCTCCTAGGTCCTGCAGAGTCGTGCTATGGGGCACTACCCTGCAACGAGAACCACAATCATGTGCGCACCGGCGCATGCAAAAGTCCATATGGCCCGCATGCATCGTTCAATACCCCCGTGCACCAGGTTAGGTGCAAGAGTTCGTGCGCTCGAGTGCAATGGCTTGTTTGTGTGATGCATCACTTTGTTCTCTCGCCTTTTACGAGCAATCGTCCGCAATAGTTGGCGCGTCAGGATACAATAGTTGCGACTGGCCATGCCGTGATGCATTTGGCCGATGCAGTTGTTGAGCCCGCAATAGTTGAGCGCAGTAGTTCACGCAACAAGTTCTTGCATCCACGTGTGCGGACCCGTTCTTGCATCCTCAGAGTAGCCACGTTGTGGAGAAAGTACGACGGATACTGTTTGGGTCCGCTGGTCTCCGGGCCACCCCAATGGGAACAGAGTCTGTGGGGTCGGAGGCTCGCGCCCGATCGCCGACGTATTTATATGCTGCGGCTCGACGTGGAGTCAGACCCTCTCCGCTTCGGGTTGCGCCGATGCATTGGCGATGCGCTGCGACCCTCCGACACCATCCACTCAGAGGCTGTCTGGGAGGCCTCCAAGAACGGTTTTTTGAAAGCAGATTTGCCTTCAAAAAATTGGTCTACTCTGTAAGAACGGTTTTTTGAAGGCAGATCTGCCTTCAAAAAACCGTTCTTACAGAGTACGCTGTTTGGAAGGCCTCTAAGACTCCGTGGGACCTCTGGGGCCGCCATGGCCGCCACGGCGGGGCGCGGCTCGGAGAGCGAGTCGAGGGGGCCCCCGCGATGGGTCTCGGGCTGGCGCGTCCGGGCGAGAGCGGGGAGGGGAGGGGGGGCTCTGCCAGCCTCACGTCTCCTCCTCCTCCTCCTCGTCCTCCTGGTTATTCTCCTCGTCCTCCTCCTCCTCCTCCTCCTCCTGCTCTTCCTCCTCCTCCTCCTCCTCCTCCTCCTCCTCCTCCTCCTCCTCCTCTTTTTCCTCCTCCTCTTTTTCCTCCTCCTCCTCCTCCTCCTCCTCCTCCTCCTCCTCCTCCTCCTCCTCCTCCTCCTCCTCCTCCATCTCCTCCTCCTCCTCCTGCTCCTCGGGCGGGCGAACAGGTGGGATTCCCGCTGCAGCGTTGGCCGCGTTTCAAGATCGGCGGTTTGCCCCAGTCGTTCAGATGTACGCTCTCGCCCCAGCGCGGGGCCCCTTTCTGGATCCGAATCCGTCCGCGTCGTTGCCGTCCCTGTCCTTACCCGTCTGCGTTCCCTTCGTCCTCCTGCTGCTCCAACTCCTCATGCTCCTGCTGCTGCTGCTGCTGCTGCTGCTGCTGCTGCTGCTGCTGCTCCCCCGCCTCCCTCCCCTTATCCTCCTCTGCCTCCGCCTTCCTCATCGGCCTGCTCTTCCTCCTGCTCATCTGCCACCCGCCACCTACTCCTCTCCTTCTTCCTCCAATGTACAGAGCCCCCCGATTTCCAGGATACCCCAGTCGCCAGATAGAAAAGACGTCAGCGCAACGTGAAGGAATGGTAGGGAGAAGTAGGATGTCAGATATGGCGCGTACTCACCTAACTTGTCTTTCCCCCATCTCCCCCCTCCTCCTCCTTCTCCTCCTCCTTCTCCTCCTCCTCCCGCTCCTCCTCCTCCTCCTCCTCCTCCTCCTCCTCCTCCTCCTCCTCCTCCTCCTCCTCCTCCTCCTCCTCCTCCTCCTCCTCCTCCTCCTCCTCCTCCTCCTCCTCCTCCTCCTCCTCCTCCTCCTCCTCCTCCTCCTCCTCTTCCTCCCCCTCTCCCCCGCCTTGCCCCCCCCCGCTCCTCGCCCGCACCTCGCCACCTCCGGGCCCCCGCCTCTGGGCCCCCCGGCGCCCGCGAGGAGTGGTGGGTCCACCCCTCCTTCTGGCTCCCCGCGCCCCCGCCCCTGCCGCGCGCGCTTCCGCGCGGGCCGCCGCTCGGCGGCCCCTCCTCGGCGGCACTCGCCCCGCCGCCTCGCCGCCGCCTCGCCGCCGCCCCTCGCCGCCGCCCCTCGCCGCCCCGATCGGGCGCGCCGCGCCCCCGCCGCGGCGGTTCCCGGACGCCTGCAGAGTTGCTCTGCGGCTTCTGCAAAGAGGGGGGTGATGACCAGGGGGGGGGGGGATATCAAGGCGGGGGCCATGATATCTCCCCAGATTCCATGGCGCCCCTTCTGATTTCAATACGTCCCCGGCCCCCCCGCTGGGCCGCGCACATGCCGCCGGTCCGCCGGTGATGATTTGCACCCCCCCTCTTGGACACCCCCCTCTTGGCCGCTCCCGAGTAAAGGTTTCGGGGTAGGTCTGCCTTGGGGGCGCGAGTGTGCTTCGGCGGCGCGAGCATCGGCCTCGGTGGCGCGAGTGTCGGCCACCTTGCTGGCACAGCGGATGGCACGTCTCTCGTTGCCGCAGGCCGCGCCGACAAGAGAAACCTGTGTTCGGGCTCGTTCCCTTCAGCTGCGCCTCGTCACGGGCGCTCCGGGGATGCTAGAATCGCCCCGAGCGGCCGCATCGTAATGTTCTCGTCGTCTTGCATCGTCGTCTTGCATCGTCGCCAACTCGCGAGCGCATCACCGGCATCGCCACCATCACAATCAGCGCAGTTGTCCCCAGTCGGTTCTTTCCGCCCAAAACCTCCCTACCACCCGAAGGGTGGTCGTATACACAATGTTCATGTCTAAGTATTCGAAAATGGTTTGATTTGTTGGGGGCCAAGATCCTTTCATTTCTAATTCTTCTATCCTGGGCCTCTTCCTGGCCACTAGGGGGCCAGGAACATGTAGAAACGAGCACTATTAGAAGTGAGCACGATTAGAAATGAACGACCTGTAGGTCAGTTTTCGGGTTGGTTCCTATCAGCTGCGCCTCGTCACGGACGTTCCAGGGATGCCAGGTTCGTCCGGGCGGCCGCCCGCGGCCCGAGCGATAGCCCCAAGCCCATCGGGAGCGGGGCTCGTCGTGGGGAGGAGGAGGAGGAGGAGGGAGGAAGGAGGAGGAGGAGGAGGAGGAGGAGGAAGAGGAGGAGGAGGAGGAGGAGGAGGAGGAGGAGGAGGAGGGAGGAGGGGAGGAGGAGGAGGAGGAGGAGGAGGAGGAGGAGGAGGAGGAGGAGGGAGGGAGGAGGGAGGAGGGAGGAGGGAGGGAGGAGGAGGGGAGGAGGAGGAGGAGGAGGAGGAGGAGGAGGAGGAGAGAGGAGCAGGAGGAGAAGGATAGGGAGAAGGAGGAGGAGGAGGAGGAGGAGGAGGAGGAGGAGGAGCAGAGGAGGAGGGAGCAGGAGGAGGAGGAGGAGGAGGGAGGAGGAGGAGAGGAGGAGGAGGAGGAGGGGAAGGAGGAGGAGGAGGAGAGGAGGAGGAGGAGAGCAGAGGGGATGAGGGACGCGGGTCACTGTCTCTTCAAAACGAGGACCCACTACCACAGGATGGCTGGGGAAACGAGTGTTCGGCATTGGTTCCATCAGCTGCGCCTCGTCACGGGCGTTGCGGGGATGCCATCACCGTCCCGAACGGCCGCCCGCGGCCCGAGCTACATGCTTGAAGCCCATCAGGAGAGGGGCTCGTCGTGGCGACGGCGGCCCTCCCTGGCGTCCTGGCGTCTTTTGCCGGGACTCCTGGACACTGCTTCTCGTCGCCGCGGCTGCACCCCCCGCGGGGAACGGAGCAGGGCCCAGGCGCCCTCGAGCTGTGAAAAAAACGTCACGGCGGAAGGTTCTGCGTTGTGCTCGGCCGCTGGAGGGAGCCTCGCTGGGTCTCGCGACAGTCAACAGGCGACTCGGGACGAGAAACTGATCCTGGGGAAGGGGTCCAGACCGTTGGGGGTCGACGTTGCGGAAAAAACACCACGTCAGGGGTCTGGGAACCAACACTGGGAGGGGTCTGGGGGTCGATTTTGAGGGGATTCGGGCTGGGTGGGTCAAACAGTGGCGAAGGGTCTTGACCTGTCTGTCTGCCCACCAAGGAATGTTATTACAGCCTTGCCTGGCTCGTACGAAGTGTTATTCGAACATGTCTGGCTGAGACAGTCTTGTTGTGATCTCCCCGCTGTGTGTTAAGAGGGTACCGATGTTTGCCATTGTATCGTCAGCGTGTTCCATAATATTGTTCGTGGTGGCCACGCAGGAATGCCAGGACGGTCGGCCTGCCCAAGCGGGAGAGTCGCCGTTGTCTGAGCTGGCCCTCCTCCGAGTCCAGGTTTTCGAGGGTTCCTGGAGGTCTGCAGGGCTGGACCTAAACGTTGTTTTGCTGGACTTCGGCGATGTTTTTTTGTTTTTTGGCCGGGAGGTACAGGAGAAAAGGCGGAGCAGAACGAATAACAAAACGAACACAAAACGAACAACAACGTTCGGGTGCAGCCCTGGAGGTTTCTCAGCCTCGGCACCCTTTTTGCTGGAGCCGCGCCCCGCCGAGAGCGTTCGATGGGGTGCTCGACTCACCACGACAGCGACCGCCCGAGGCCCAAAAGTTACGGCCCAGAAGCTGTCCCCGAGGATTGCTCGGATTCTGGAGGTGGACTGGCCCGTTCCGTTCGGGCCCAGAGTGCTGTGAGAAGGCCTCCTCATCCTCATCCTCCTCTTCCTTCTCCTCTTCCTCCTCGTCCTCCTCCTCCTTCTCCTCCCCCTCCTCCCCCTCCTCCTCCTCCTCCTCCTCCTCCTCCTCCTCCTCCTCCTCCTCCTCCTCCTCCTCCTCCCCCTCCTCCCCCTCCTCCTCGTAGAAGGCAGGATGGTTTTCCAGAGGCCGCCCGCCGCCTCAGAAAGCCGCCTCCATCGCCCCGCACCAGCTGCGCGCCGCAGACCAGGGCTGGACCCCAAAGCTGTTTTGCTGGACTTCGGCTGTGCTTTGTTTTTCGTTTGTGGCAGGGAGGTACAGGAGAACAGGTAGGGCAGAACGAATAGAAAACGAGAAACAACGTTTCGGTCCAGCCCTGCCGCAGACCACTGCCGCGGGGGTCTGCGCGGAGACGCCACGACGTCCCAGGCTCTGGGCGAATATGTGCTTCTGCTGGTGAAGCCAGGAGGGTTTTATTTCCTCGAGGCCGCCGTCCTTGGGCCGCTTCTTTGGGGCACTGGGGCAGGCAAAGAAGCCGGCCCCCGGGCGAGGAGCTGCCCACGTGGGAAGGGGATGGAAGGCCTCTGGGGCCGCGGACGGACAGAGTCACATCGAAGGATGCTGGGATTGGCGGCGCGCGCAAGGTTCGGCCACGCGCAGAAGGGGGGGGGTTAGGGGGAGGGGGGAAGGCTTCTCAGAAGATTCCCTGCTTCTCAGAAGGCACGGGCCTTATCTTTTTGGATGTAAGGCCCGCGCCTTCTAAGGAGCAGCCTCCTAACGAGCCTTCCCCCCTCCCCCATGCCTCCCTCTGTGCGCCGCCAAATTTCAAAAGGGTTCTCCTCAGCGCGCGAGGGGGGCCGCGCCCTGAGCAGGCTGGGGGCTTCTGAAAAGAAGGGGCCGGTCGTGGGCGAAGAACAGATCCGTACCCGCGGCCTCACGGGCCGGGCCTCTGGGCCGCAAACTTTTGAATCCACCGCCCCCTGTCGATTCATCGCAGGGGTGCATGGCGTGCTGGACTTCTTAGGGTTTGGTTTTGGTTCTTTTTCCAAAAGAACTCCCCCTGGGGCTCCGGCACGTCCCGCCGGCCACCCGTAAAGCGCGTCCGTCGATGCTTGAAACGGCCGTTTCGCTCGGGAAAAAAATCGCGAAGATGCCCAAGATGGCCTCCAAATCCGCCCAAGATGGTCCAAGACGGCCTCCAAGACGGCCCAAGAGAGTCCAAGACGGCCCAAGAGGCCCCCCAGAGGCCTCCCAGACGGCCCAAGAGGCCTACAAGAGGTCCTCCAAGAAGGCCCGACGAGGCCGAAATCATTGACTTTTCATAAGTTTTTGAACGATTTTGGAAATTGCCTCTTCTCGGCATTCCGACGGCTCAGGACGGCCCAAGAGGCCCCCAAGATCGCCCAGGAGGCCCCCAAGAGGGCCCCATGACGGCCCACATGGCCTCCAAGACGGCTCCAAGAGGGCCCCAAGATGGCCCAAGAGGCCTTCAACACGCCCAAGATGGCCTCCAAGACGCCCAAGATGGCCTCCAAGACGGCCCCGAGGTGACCCAAGAGGGCCCCCAGTTGGCCTAGAAAGGCCCCCAAGACGGCTCCCGACAGCGTCAGACGTACCAGGAACCCACCAAGATGGCCGAAATTGGCTCGAAGCTGGCCCAAGACGGCCCAAGAGGCTCTCAAGAGGGCCTCCAGGAAGCCAGAAGAGGCCAAAAACAGTGATGTTCCTTAGGTTTTTGACGGAATTTGACATTTCCTTCTTTTCGGCCTTCCGACGGCCCGAGACAGCCCAAGAGCCCCCACAGATCGCCGAAAGATCGCCCAAGAGGCCCCAAGAAGGCCCCAAGAGGCCCCAAGACGGCACAGGAGGCCTTTAAGACGCCCAAGATGGTCTCCAAGACGGCTTTGGAGCATTCCAAGAGGGCCCCAAGTCGGCCCATAGAGGCCCCCCAAACGGCTTCCCACGGCGTCAAACGGACCAGGAGCCCACCAAGACGGCCGATCATGGCCCTAAGATGGCCCAAGACGGCCCAAGAGGCCTCCAAGAGGGTCTCCAGGAAGGCCCCGAAAAGGCCAAAATCAGTGATTTCCCGTGGGTTTTTGAAGGATTGTGGCATTTGTTGTTTTTCTGCCTTCCGACGGCCCGAGACGGCCCAAGTGCCCCCAAAGATCGCCCAAGAGGCCCAAGACACGGCCCCAAGAGGCCCCCAAGACGGCCCAAGAGGTCTCCAAGACGCTCAAGATGGCCTCCAAGACGGTCCAAGAGCCCTCCAAGACGTCCTCCAAGAAGGCCCGAAAGGGTCAAAATGGCCTCCAGACGGCCAAGATGACCTTCAAGATGCCCACGTGTTCCCCGAAGGCTTTCCAAACCGATTCGGGGAACACATGGTCCGATAGCTTGGCAGGTCTGGCCTCAACGTTCGGCCACATAGGCGCTTCCACAAAGGCAGGGGGCGGCGGTGATTCGCCGCAGGCGTCTTCGATACGGAGCGCGTTTTCGTGGATGCCCCGCGCGGGACGCATCCGTGCGATCGCGCATCCGTCGGATCGCGCCCCAGAATCCAGACCGCGAGGGCGCGGATGCGGCTTCCAGGAGGGCTTTCTCAGAAGGCAGGTGGAGCTTCAAAGAGGCCCCCTGCCCTCTCACACGGCCAGTCTCCCCTCGCCCCGCACCCCTTGCGCACGCCGCCCACCACAGGGAAGGGAGGTGGCCCGCGTATTGTTCCGTATGCTTTCGGCGCCTGTTTCGTGCGGATTGCGGTTGGTTGGGAAGATCTGTGTATGATTGCCCTACGTTCTTTGAGAGTTCGGCTGTGGTCTGTGGATTGCGTCCTCGTACTTGCGTGCGTGCGTGCGTGCGTGTGTGCTTGTGTGCGTGTGCGTGTGTGTGCGCGTGTGCGCACGGTGTGCGCGCGCGCGTGTGTGTGTGTGTGTGTGTGTGTGTGTGTGTGTGTGTGTGTGTGTGTGTGTGTGTGTGTGTGTGTGTGTGTGTGTGTGTGTGTGTGTGTGTGTGTGTGTGTGTGTGTGTGTGTGTGTGTGTGTGTGTGTGTGTGTGTGTGTGTGTGTGTGTGTGTGTGTGTGTGTGTGTGTGTGTGTGTGTGTGTGTGTGTGTGTGTGTGTGTGTGTGGTGTGTGTGTGTGTGTGTGTGTGTGTGTGTGTGTGTGTGTGTGTGTGTGTGTGTGTGTGTGTGTGTGTGTGTGTGTGTGTGTGTGTGTGTGTGTGTGTGGTGTGTGTGTGTGTGGTGTGTGTGTGTGTGTGTGTGTGTGTGTGTGTGTGTGTGTGTGTGTGTGTGTGTGCGTGTGCGTGCGTGCGTGCGTGCGTGCGTGCGTTGCGTGCGTGCGTGCGTGCGTGCGTGCGTGCGTGCGTGCGTGCGTGCGCGTGCGTGCGTGCGTGCGTGCGTTGCGTGTGTGCGTGTGTGCGTGTGTGCGTGTGTGCGGTGTGGCATTGGGTGCAGTGCGTGCGTGCGTGCGTGCGTGCGTTGCGTGCGTGCGTGCGTGCGTGCGTGCGTGCGTGTGTGTGGTGTGTGTGTGTGTGTGTGTGTGCGTGCGTGCGTGCGTGCGTGCGTGCGTGCGTGTGTGTGTGTGTGTGTGCGTATGTGTGTGTGTGATGTGTGTGTGGGCGTGGGCGCGTATGCGTGTGCGTGTGTGCGTGTGTGCGTGTGTGCGTGTGTGTGCGTAGGTTCGTAGGTGCGTGTGTGCGTGTGTCCGTGTGTGCTTGTGTGCGTGCGTGGGTGCGTTGGTGCGTAGGTGCGTGTGAGTGCGTGTGTGTGAATAGTGTGTGCGTGTGTGTGTGTGTTTGTGTGTGTGTTTTTGTGTCTGTGTGTGTCTGTGTATATGTCTGTGTGTCTGTGTGTGTTAGTATGTGTGTGCGGGCATGTGTGTATGAGTGTCAAGGCTGCCAAAGTGCTCGAAGGAGTTCGGCGATTTCTGACGGTGTCGTTGCCCGAAGGATTCCTGAGTGACCTGTCATTTCAGGACTGTTTCGGCGGCTTCTGGAGGTTCCCAGGTGTTGTTGAAGATCCGTCTTCTTCTTTGATTGGGGAAGAGAAGACGTGGGGGGAGGAGGTAGAGTTGTGGAGGACGATCAATGGAGAGGAAGCATGTTGCCAAATAATCCCCAGATGTCTAAAACATGTGTTAAGCATGGTTTTACTATGCAAAAAAGCATGATTAAAACAAGTTTAGAACATGTCCCCGACATTTTCAACACAGTTTACACTCAATGATAGGACTGTTAGGCTGTCCATTGTCGTGGCATCCACAAAGGTAGGAGGAGGCGGGGGAGGAAGAGGGAGGACCGCCGTCCGGTCGTCCCCTCTTCGCTCTCTGTGCCTCTTGGTTGTTCTTTCACACCTCCCCCCGGCGACCGCTGGGCGGGAGAGGTTCGAGGGTTCCATCGGTGATGCAGACAGGCCCTCATATCGCAGGATCACAAGATGGACGAGCAGGCACAGGATATTCAGGAGGGGAAGAAACACACAGACACAATTAATCGTCGAGTGCCAGGAAAATAGGGAAAATATGGGAATTGGGCGGGAAGACAAACATCCAGAAAATATGGGAAAATATGCGGAATCATTTTATTTGTGTGTATTTATTTGTGTGTCCTGGGGCCCCTTCAGATATGTGGGAAGGATGAGCAGAGAGACGAGGGGGGGGGGATGAGCAGGAGAGCGAGGGGCAGGGGAGGAGGAGGAGGATCAGGGGCGAGGAGATGGGGAGGCAGGAGGGAGATAAGGGGGGGAATGAGGACGAGAAAAAAGGGGCTGGGAGGCGATCCGCAGCTTCGACGCACGGCCACGTCTAGAGGCCGTTCCTGTGCAACTCGCCAGTTTGGCTTTGGCCCCTCTTCCATCTCATCTAAATGAACGTATGTCCATCCATCGCCCCTTGTCCCTGCCCTGAGGTCCGGGCGTTGCATGTTTCTTCACAGCGGGCGTTTTCCCCCCTGGGACCATCATGTATCGATTCGGCTCGAAGAAAGCAGCAGAAAGGTTCGTTCTAGAGTCTAGGGTCTAGGGCTCCGGCTTCGATTTTTTGCGATGCCAGTATTTGTTCGCAACGTCGGATCTCAGGGTCGCCGAGATGCTTCGAGGGCCGCCAGGATCGCCCCCCACGCCCCCCAGGGGGTCCGAGCTACGGGCTGGAAGCCGACGACGGAGGCGACGGCGGCGGCGACTACTACAATGGAGGCGTCGACGCCGTCGTCGACGTCGTCATGGATCGTCGTCGTGATCCCAGGAACCCTCTCAGTCCTCGGTGTCCTGTGCCCTCCTCCCCACCGTGCTCGTCGCGGGCAGCGAGGTTCAGGCTGGACCTAAACGCTGTTTCGCTGGAATAAAACGAAACACAACGTTTAGGTCCAGCCCTGGCGAGGTTCCACAGCAGGTTCCAGCGGATCGGGGTGCGGCTGCAGGACCTCACCACTGGGGAGCTCAGGCGGTCCGCCAGGGGAGCCCCGTGCCAGGCGGGAGGAGGAGGAGGAGGAGGAGGAGGAGGAGGAGGAGGAGGAGGAGGAGGAGGAGGAGGAGGAGGTAGCGGCAATAATAGGATCGCGCGGAGGAGCTGCAGCCCTCCGGGGTGCAGGTTCCTGGGCGCCTCGGGGAGGAGGAGGGGAAGGAGGAGGAGGAAGAGGAGAAGAGGGAGGAAGCGGAGGAGAGGAGGAAGAGAGGAAGAGGAGGGAAGAGGAGGAAGAGGAGGAGGAGGAGGAGGAGGAGAGGAGGAGAGACGGAGGAGGAGACAGAGGAGGAGACGGAGGAGGAGAGGAGGAGAGGAGAGGAGGAGATCGGGGCTGGACAGACCTCCCACCCTGACACGCCGATTGAGGAATTGACCGTTTTCGGTTCGCGAGAGGGCGTCGCGGCCGTCGTTTTTGCGGGTCCAGGTCCATCGGTTTCGGTTCCCACGCCCGTTTTCACTAAGGGGAGGTCTACTAAACGGGTTTGTCCAACGCCGAGAGGAGGAGACGGAGACGGAGAAGGAGGAGGAGGAGGAGGAGGAGGAGGAGGAGGAGGAGGAGGAGGAGAGGAGGGGGGAGGGGGAGGGGGAGGGGCGCAGAAGGAGGAGGAGGAGGAGAGGAGGAGGAGGAGGATGAGGAGAAGGAGGAGAAGCAGGAGCAGGAGGAGGAGGAGGAGGAGGAGGTGGAGGCGGAGGGGAGGGGCAGGGCCCGGGCAGGGCAGCGGCAGGGCAGGGCGAGAGGGGGATGGGAGGGGCAGGGGGAGGGGGGAGGGAGGGGGGAGGGGCGGGGGGCGGGGTCGGGGGTGGGGGAGGGGGGGGAGGGAGAGGGGGAGGGGAGGGAGACGGGAGGGGGAGAAGGGCAGAGGGGGAGGGGGAGGGGGCAAGCTAGGTGCGCTCGCGTCATATCTGACATCCTACCCCTCCCTCCCATCCCTTACCATGGCGCAGATCCCCTCTCTACTCGCACAGTCGGATGTCGAGCAGGGCAATGATCCCGAAAGGGTACGCGATGCATTGTAGAGCACGGCATGGCATGGCGTAGAAGAGCACCGCAAAGCGTAGTATGTCACAGCATGGCGTGGCGTGGCGTAGTGAAAAATTGCATCACCAAGCTTTGCAACGCAAAGTATGGTATCGCACAGCGGCCCCGAACATAACATTGCATAGCATGGCGTTGAAGATCAAAGCGTAACATGGCATAGCACGACGTGGCACTTAAGCACAGCATATCACAGCTTCAGCTGAAGGCATGGCATGGCACGGGAAATGACGCCAGCGCTGCAGCGGGAGCGCGATTCGGAACGAGCGGAAGCGCGGGAATGAGGCCAGCGCTGCAGCGGGAGCACGATTCGGAACGAGCGGAAGCACGGAAATGAGGCCAGCGCTGCAGCGGGAGCACGATTCGGAACGAGCGGGGCTCCAAAATGAGGCCGGCGCTTCAGCAAGAGCAGCATGTTGAAACAAATGCAGACGAAAACCCAACTCCGGGGAATCCTGTGTGTTTAAAATTCAGTACGCGGGGGGGGGGGTCGAACACTCCCAGCCCGTCATCAGGGGAGAGTAGTATTCATATTGGGGGGAGGGGGGAGGGGCAAGCTATGTGCGCTCGCGTCATATCTGACGTCCTACCCCTCCCTCCCATTCCTTACCATGGCGCTGATTTTCTCTATCCGCGGACGCGTGTCGTAGCGGACCTGTGGCTCCGCGCGCGCGTGCGGAGTGGGTGGTGGTGCGCGTGCGTGCGTGCGTGCGTGCGTGGTTGTGGTTGTGGTGGTGGTGGTGGTGGTGGTGGTGGTGGTGGTGGTGGTGGTGGTGGTGTGTGTGTGTGTGTGTGTGCGTATGTGCGCGTGTGCTGTGGTGTGACGTGGTGTTTCGTCATGGTGGTTTGGTGGTGGGCCAGGAGCGTGCGTGCGTGATGGCGATGGTGGTGGTGGCGGTGGTGGTGGTGGTGTGTGCGTGTGTGTGTATGTGTGTGTGCGTGTGTATGTGTGTGTGTTGTGTGTTGTGTGTTGTGTGCTGTGTGTTGTGTGTTGTGTGTTGTGTGTTGTGTGTTGTGTGCTGTGTGTTGTGTGTTGTGTGCTGTGTGCTGTGTACTGTGTACTGTGTGTTGTGTGTTGTGTGTTGTGTGTTGTATGTGTTGTATGTGTTGTGTGTTGTGTGTTGTATGTGTTGTATGTGTTGTGTGTTGGGTATGTTGTGTATGTTGTGTGTTGTGTGTGTTGTGTGTGTTGTGTGTGTTGTGTGTGTTGTGTGTGTTGTGTGTGTTGTGTGTGTTGTGTGTTGTGCGTGTTGTGTGTGTGTTTGTGTGTGTGTTCGCGCGTGTGTGTGTGTGTGTGTGTGTGTGCGTGCGTGTGTGCGTGCGTGTGTCGTGCGTTTGCGTGCGTGCGTGTGTGTGTGTGTGTGTGTGTGTGTGTGCGTGCGTGCGTGCGTGCGTGCGTGCGTGCGTGCGTGCGTGCGTGCGTGCGTGCGTGCGTGCGTGCGTGCGTGCGTGCGTGCGTGCGTGCGTGCGTGCGTGCGTGCGTGCGTGCGTGCGTGCGTGGCGTGCGGTGCGTGCGTGCGTGCGTGCGTGCGTGCGTGCGTGCGTAATGTGTCTGTGTGCGCGCGCGTGTGATGCTGTGTGACGCGGTGTAGCGTGGTGGTGGTGGGTGGGGTAGTGCGGTGGTGGTGGCGGTGCGCGGTGGTGGTGCGCGTGCGTGCGTGCGTGCGTTGGTGGGTGGAAGTGGCGGTGGGTGTGCGTGCGGCGGGGCGGGGCGCGGTGCGGCGCGGTGGTGGCGGGCGGATGGGCGCGCGAGAAAGAGGCCCGCGCTGGGGCGAGAACGCCATCCTGAACGACGGAGGCAAAACACCGATCCGAAAATGAGGCCCACGCTGCAGCGGGAGCACGATTCGTAACGAGCGGAAGCCCGAAAACGAGGCCGGCGCCTTTGCGAGAGCACCATTCGCAAAAACCCCAAAAAACATGCGAAAACCCAACTCCGGGAAATCCTGTGTGTAAAAAACAGTACGCGGAGGGGTGCCCGCCATCGTCCGCACGCCATCAGGGGAAGGAGGAGAGTGTATTCAAATTGAGTCATTGTGGAGGGGGGGGGAGGGAGGAGGGGGGAGGGGGGAGGGGCAAGCCAGGTGCGCTCGCGTCATATCTGACATCCTACCCCTCCCTCCAATCCCTTACCATGGCGCAGATCCCCTCTACTCGCACAGTCGGATGTCGAGCAGGGCAATGATCCCGAAAGGGTACGCGATGCATTGTAGGGCACGGCGTGGCATGGCGTAGAAGAACACCGCGAAGCGTAGTATCAACCTAGCATTGCATTGCATGCCGTGGCATGGCACGGGAAATGACGACAGCGCTGCAGCAGGAACACGAGTCGAAACGAGCGGAAGCGCGGAAATGATGCCAGCGCTGCAGCGGCGCGACTCGGAACGAGCGGAAGCACGCCGGAATCGGCCCGGGTGGCCTCCCGGGCGCCGGAAGCAGAAATTCAGCATCTACATTTAAAGGAAAATGTGTATTGAAATGGCCTTTTTTCGGCGCCGCCTCGGAACTCGATTTTCCGGGGCCGGCCGGAACCGGCTCCGGACCCGACCCGCCCAGGCGCCGGCTCGGGCGTCCGGCCCGGGCGCCGGCTCGGGCGCCGGCCCGGGCGTCGGAATCGGCCCGGGAGGCCTCCCGGGCGCCGGAAGCAGAAATTTCGCTTTTCAAAAGATTATCCCGGCAAAGCAACCTAACAGCGATGTGCAGGAGCATATCTGGAAGCATTCCCCTTAAGATTCGGATGAGAATCCAGTTGTAGAATTCTGCTGTTCTCGCAGTCGTAGTCGCATTCGCGATGACAGTCGCAGCGGCAACGGCAGTCACAGTCACAGCCTCAGCCTCAGCCTGCCTCAGCCTCAGCCTCAGCCTGCCTCAGCCTCAGCCTGCCTCAGCCTCAGCCTCAGCCTGCTTCAGCCTCAGCCTCAGTCTGCCTTCAGCCTCGGCCTCAGCCTCAGCCTGCCTCACCCTCAGCCTGCATCAGCCTCAGCCTCAGCCTCAGCCTGCCTCAGCATCAGCCTGCTTTAGCCTCAGCCTCAGCCTGCCTCAGCCTCAGCCTCAGTCTGCTTCAGCCTCATCCTCAGTCTGCCTTCAGCCTCGGCCTCAGCCTCAGCCTGCCTCAGCCTCAGCCTGCCTCGGCCGCAGCATCAGCCTGCCTCAGCATTCAAAATGTGGCCCAGGAATGGAGTTCTGGGAACTAGACGAACACGAGGTGGCCTACAGTTGGCTCCGGGCATTCAAAATCATGCCCAGGAATCAAGTTCTGGGAACTAGACGAACACGAGGTGGCCTACAGTTGGCTCCGGGCATTCAAAATCATGCCCAGGAATGGAGTTCTGGGAACTTGAAGAGCACGAAGTGGCCTACAGTTGGCTCCGGGCATCCAAAATGTGGCCGGGAATGGAGTTCTGGGAAATCGAAGAGCACGAAGTGGCCTACAGTTGGCTCCGGGCATCCAAAATGTGGCCCGGGAATGGAGTTCTGGGAACTCGAAGACCACGAAGTGGTTTACAGTTGGCTCCGGGCATCCAAAATGTACGCCGGGAATG